GGGGCACACACAAACCCTCAAACTTGCCCCACACCCCCAATGCGCAGCTCTTCTGCCTCGAGCACGGAATCCAGCCCGACGGCCAGATGCCCTCCGACAAGACCATCGGAGGCGGCGACGATGCGTTCAACACCTTCTTCTCCGAGACTGGCTCGGGCAAGCACGTGCCGCGCACCGTCTTCATCGACCTCGAGCCGACCGTCATCGGCGCGTCCCGCCCCTCCCCCGCCAATGCGCGCTAATCGGATTCAGATGGCAGCTATGCGGAAACAGAGCAAAAACATACCCGCGCGGCTTGAGCTGAGAAGCCCCTCCGCCTCCTCTCCCCCAACAGACGAGGTTCGCACGGGCACGTACCGCCAGCTCTATCACCCGGAGCAGCTCATCTCGGGCAAGGAGGACGCGGCCAACAACTACGCCCGTGGCCACTACACCGTCGGCAAGGAGATCGTCGACCTGGTCCTCGATCGCATCCGCAAGCTGGCCGACAACTGCACCGGCCTGCAGGGCTTCTTCGCCTTCAACGCCATCGGCGGCGGCACCGGCTCCGGCCTGGGCGCCCTCCTGCTCGAGCGCCTCTCGGTCGACTACGGCCGCAAGTCCAAGGTCTCCTTCACCATCTACCCGGCGCCCCAGGTCTCGACCGCCGTCGTCGAGCCGTACAACTGCGTCCTCTCGACGCACACGCTGCTCGAGCACACGGACGTCACCTTCATGGTGGACAACGAGGCGCTGTACGACATCTGCCGCCGCAACCTCGACATCGAGCGCCCGACGTACACCAACCTCAACCGCCTCACCGCCCAGATCATCTCGTCGATGACCGCCTCGCTCCGCTTCGACGGCGCGCTCAACGTCGACCTTACCGAGTTCCAGACGAACCTGGTGCCGTACCCGCGCATCCACCTGGCGATCGCCTCCTTTGCGCCCATCATCTCGGCCGAGAAGGCGTACCACGAGCAGCTCTCCGTCTCCGAGATCACCAACGCCGTCTTCGAGCCCGCCTCGATGCTCGTCAAGGTGGACCCGCGCCACGGCAAGTACATGGCGTGCTGCCTCATGTACCGTGGCGACGTGGTGCCCAAGGACGTCAACTCGGCGGTCGCCACCATCAAGACGAAGCGCACCATCCAGTTCGTCGACTGGTGCCCCACCGGCTTCAAGTGCGGCAGTGAGTTGCCGCCCCCCCGCCTCCAACCCAGCGCGCGCATCCCCCTGGCCGCCGAGCCGTTTATCCCTCCCCTCCCTAGCCGGAGCCGCTCTCACGTGCCGCCTCCCCCCCTCCCTCCCCGCGCAGTCAACTACCAGCCGCCCACGGTCGTGCCGGGCGATAAGGAACTTTCAAGAGGG